AAATGACAAGAAATGGGCCCTGTGGGAGGGCTCCTCCTCTCCCAGAGTAAAGGCTCTGGGAGTGACTATCTCTGCCAGTCCCAGATTATTAGGTTACTTTTTAAGGAAAAAAATTAAGTACTTCCATTATACTTTTCTTAAATATTATTTTAAGTGATTTGTGAAGGGAAATATATTTTGTCCACGAAATTATAATATTCTAGAATTAAACAGATAAGCATATGAGGTTTTACACCACACATGGGGGACTATGAAGGCAAATCTTGGTACTATATCTTTCAGGGAAATACTGGTAACTAGAAAAAAAAAAACATGATATAAAATATATTAGAATAAATTTCAATAGTATATACATAGAAAGGAAACTTATTAATAATTTACTAGTACAAAGCATGATGCAAAGAAATTTGAACATATTTCTACAAAGTACATGTAGGTTCATATATAGAGTTCAAAAACTGTATAAACCCTACCTACCACATATACAAAAATTAACTCAAAATGGATTGTAGACCTAAACGTAAGTCCACATACTGTATGAATGCATTTATATGAAATGTCCAGAATGGGCAAATCCATAGAGAAAGAAAAGCAGATTAGTGACTGCTAGGGACTGGGGGACTTGGGGGCGGGGAGACCATAGTGAGTGAGTACTAATGGGCACAGGGCTTCTTTCTGAGATAACGAAAATGTTCTAACATTAGACTGGTGATGGTTGCATAACTCTGAATATACTAAAACCACTGAATTGTATACTTTAAAAGGGTGAACTGAATGAGGTTTTATCTCAATAAAGCTGTTTTTAAAAACCTGGTACAAAGCATACAACAGAATAACTTTAAAAGAAACCCAATGTTGTGTTAATGCATGTGTAAAACATTTCACTAATTGGTAAATCATAATAAATAGCATGAACTGTGATAAAATTTACTTGAAACTGTTGTAACAATAATTTCATTTTTTTCTTTGCATGATATGCTCACATTCAGAATTAAATACATGATTAAAATAGTATTTCAAACCTATGATCAGCTGTGGCCTGTAGTTTATTATTTTCCAAAATGCCTTTTGCTATGTGTTGCATGTCACTGCAGGGCACAGCGTCATCACTGTCACATCCTTCTATCCTCCACAACTCTAGCTTGGGGAGCAGCTTTATTATGGAGCCTCAAACGGGGGACCCAAGTGAGTGTGAAAGGAGGTGCTACTGGGAATTACACCAGGATAATGGCCGGGGTGGGGGGGGCGGGTGCGCGCCAGGACTGCAACAGGCAAAGTGGAACAAACCATCACCCAGCTTCTAGCTCATAAAGGTTTCCATCCAAAACAAAGACTAGATACAGGTTAATGTTTTTAAATTTAATAACTAAATATTGACTGAACCTACTCTTTACCGGGCACACCCCTAATCCAGGCTCCAGGGATCCAGCAGTAAAACAGACAGACAGAACCCTTTTCTCACAGAGGTTGGCCTCTAGGAGAAGAGCTTACCACAGAGAAGAAAAATTAGACTTTTTATAACTCAGAATTAATGGTTAAGATGAAACTGTACTTTAAGTAGTTTAAAAATTTTAAGGCTCACTAGTATGAGGAAACTGTCCTAGTTTTGTCCCCAGTCAAGCTCAGGCTGAGAAGATGGGCCCTGAGCTGACCCTTCCACGTGGCCCATCTGGGTGGGCGTCAGGCACCTAACGGGACAGAGCCTGCATTTGATTTTCCACTTTAACACACAGACCCCATCTTGCTCCCTGGCCTTGCCGTGGGGGTGAAATCTGTTTCCCACCATGGGGACAGAAAGCAGGAAAACCTGCTATTCGTTCTCTTTTGATCCCTGGCTGCTTTCCAATGTGATGTAAGCAAATTAATAGTAATTTTCAGTTTTGTTTTTCTCGTTATCAGTTCTGGCACAAAGGTATTTTAGAAAAAAAACTTTTAATGGACACATTTAAGATCTCATTTTTCCCAAAATGTGTATTCGCGCACATTACTTAGGGAGGCACGCCGAAACATATCTCTTATGCAACAGGGCATGTCCCTCACCCTGACATGGTGAAATCTATTTTCATGACAGGCCCTCATTCATTCCAGTATTCCTGTGACTTGTGTAAAAACCCTAGATCCTTTCTGATTTCCAGAGTTATTATAAACAAACAATATAATCAAGAGGAACTTAAGTCCCAGTTCTCAGTCATTTTAGGAGATTTCTTACCTGGTCATAAATTCTCCCTTACACTCAAAGGAAGGTTTAAAAAAAGACTCTAGTTACCACAGTATCACCGAATTGAAGTGTTTTTGGTCTGTCTTTACCAGGAATTCCATACACATGTCAACTCTGCAGGTCACCTTCAAACAAGTGCATCAAAAAGAACTGCATACACAGGTCCTAGCACAGATATAATGACATGATGATGGAACAGTACCATCTGGGCACAGGCAGGGAAGGGTACAGACCACAAGCCAATGGAAGGGCCAATGTGAAAGCTGTCTCTCAGCACATGGGCCACTGGACAGGGAGCTCTGGGCTGAAACCAACCTCCCATTCGACACTAGTTCACCATGATGAATAAACTCATAAACCTGTCCTCTGAAGAAAGTTCCTGCCAAATGGGGTGAGGAGAGGGTTGAGGCCCACTGTTGCTTCTGGGCTGGTATTCAGCAGGCGCCGTCCCTGGAGGTTTGCGGTTCAGGCCAGTGGCAAAGCCTAACAGCAGGAGCGTATCAGGGCAGCTGCTACCCCAAGCACACGTGACCTCGCGCCGCTCAGAGCGGTCCCTTCAAATACCTCAATGTTCATGACTTCATCTTCTCACCATGCAAGGCTCTCCTTTTGTCCCTCTTCTTTTTCACCACAGTTCATAGTCTGTGTTTCCCAATCCACAGATAATGGACACAGATAACTGAGGAGCCCAGTCTCTCTAAACGGCTCCTTGCTGCAGAGGAAATGGTAAGGAGCTGTACAATTAAAAAACACTCCTTGAGTCTCTTTATTGGCTGCTGGCCCTCGCCATGCCTTACGCCCATGGTGAGAAATGAGACTCCCCACAGCCTGGTGCCAGAGCCTGCTCATCTGCCTAAGGCAGCCTCTTCACTTGGCTGGAGAAACAGGTGTTACGGCTCAGTGTCCTCTTGGTTCTTCCCTCTCCCCTCTGGAGCATTAGCAGGTCAATATTGTCCTCTATTTCCATGACAGACTAGACTGGTAGCTTGGCCACCCTACCATTCCCTCCCTTGCCCAACGCCCATCTGACAATGGTGAAGGAAATGGCTGAGGGTTCCCTGCAAGTCACCTACTGGCCAAGAGCTCCTGGGGGCCAGGCCATCTCCCACAGGTTCTGAAAACATTCTGAAATGTGGAAGAAGGGGGTCTGCCCTGATTAAAATAAACAGTTCCCAAGCCACATTGAATCCCAGGCCATAATAATCCAGAGCTTTCCCTTGCTTCAATCATTTTCAAGTAAGTTTCTGGAAGCTTCCTAAAATGAGTCTGCTTTCTCAGTAATATTGCTGTCTAGAAGTTCACAATGTTTATATTGTTTTCCTATGCATAACTTTTGCTTTGGCAGTAACATCGCTACTCTCTGTGCCACGTGCTACACAGGCACCCTTTTATACTTTCTTATTACGACGACACACTCTGAAGTTACCCCCAGTGGAACAGAGGTTCAGAGATAACATCATGACAAGAGCCCCAGTCTTACAACATGCTCAAAGTCCAGCTCCGTTCAATGGCCAAGGCATTTTACTGCCCTTAACACTACTTGGACCTATGTGCGAGAGGAGAACTTTCTGTCTTGCTCACGTGATCCAGACTCAAAGACCAGATTCCCAGAAGCCAAATTAACACAGATTGTGTGAAGAACATTTTCCCTGACTTTTTCTCCCCGTGATAAGCCTTAAAAAGGTAATGTGTCTAGTTGCATGTCACAGACTGCCCACTGGGTGGTCCCAGAATGGCTGGGAGTTGTGGTCCTGAGCTCACGTAAGTGCAGCAGGAAACCACCACCTCCATGTGGCCAGCTCTCCAGTCTCACACACCCACCAGGGAAAAGCAACCTAAGGGCAGAAAAGGGCTAGTCTGGCCGAACAACACTGAAGCGCATAATAAAGGATTACTACACTGCAAGAGTTCCTAATCTCACAGGAAAATTAAAAGTCAAGCTGGTGCTCCAAATTTGGCTAAATCAGGGGAGACAGAGTATCTGGGACTTTCAGAAATTTCTAGAAACTCCATGCCCTGCTCCATGACCAACTTGAAAAATTCTTTAAGGGTGTTATAACTTGCCCTCCCCCCCCCAAAAAAAAAAATCTAAAAAGAATACATCTCTGGGGAGGGGTTCTTTAAATATAAATCCCCTGGGGCTTTTGGGTGCTTTTAAAAAATCAATCTACCACAAGCTGATGGAAGGAATTACACAGGGCAAAGAAACAGTTGTTCCGGGTCATGCCGAGGGGAGACAAACAAGAACTGCAACATTAAAACAAACTGGCTCTACAGTGTGGGGTAATACAATGGGAGAACAGAATGTGATTTGTAAGCGTGTGAGATTTCACAGACCTACACCTGCCACAGAAATAGCTCAGAAAGATCAAAGAGGACGTCAGTGGACACACATCAGGTCCAGTCTCTAGGCTGCCTCCGCTTCAATGCAGAAACACTCTGGGCTCCATGAACAACATGGAAAAATGTAAAAGTAAGTTTAGCTGATTTCTAAAAATCTCTTAAACTCCTTTTTATAAATACTTGAATGTACAGATTGGTGCTTAGAGTAGGAAAGAGGAGGTATGGAGGACATAAAGGATTTTAGGAAAGCTGTCTCTTACAAAATTCTTGTTCCACAGATATCAGATGGTTCATTCAAGATGATTTCTCGGGAGCTTTCTTCAGCAGAATGCCCCTGTTGTTAAAGTCCAAATCTTTCTCCACTGCCCAATTGTGAAAGCTTAATTTCTCCTTTTTGGGGAGGATTATGCTGAAATTACTGTCACATAAATACCGTTACCTTTTCTGGTGAAAAACTCCTTGGAATATTTTCCCAACATAGCGTATTTTCGAGGAACTTTCCCCAGCAGTTCAATGATCAATGCTATGTGATCTGCATTGGGAAACATTGCCAGCAAAACAGAAACACACGACAGTTTAATCAGTACACTGCATGCAGACACTGCCACCGCCCGCGCAGACAGAAACAGAGCGCGACTTCAACAATCGAAGGCACCGGCTGTGCCCGTGCGGCCTGGCGCGGGGCGCCCGGCAGCTGAGGGCACTGCGGCTGGAGGAACCGATGCACAGGGCGACCACGGCACAGGGCCGAACTGCGTCTTCCCCCGCAACTTCTAAATGAGCACAGGAATTCTGCTGGGTTGCTTTTTGAATTTAGGAGAAATGCCTCTGTCACCATTATTGCTGCAACTGGCAGCTACTATTCCGTTTCTGTCTGCATCGTGCGCTTTTCAAAAAGAAGAGGTACTACCTCTGCGATTGAAGAATTCCCGAGAATATTTTCCAGATAGAGCAAAGTGCCTTGGGATACTGCCTAGCAGCTCTATGATGTGGGCTATGTGGTCTATGGAGGAGAGAAAAAAGGGATATGGGAATGGGAGGGGCAAAGGGAAGGAGGGGATAAAAGAAGAGGGAAAAAAATTGACATTAGTAAAAACTCAGAAATAGATTCAAATCAACAATGTCTGCAGCTCATCCATGCAGCAGCATCTGGGACTGGCAGGCCTCAGGCATCATCTGGAGCATAAATGGTGACTGATGCCAGCTCACCCCAGGCAACCCCTAGCATTGCAAACAAATAAGCCTGGAGATGGTCAGGTTTACAGATGGAATTCAAGCCAGAATTCCTTGGTTTTCAACTCAGCTGCCAAACAGGACAGAAAAATGGGCAGGAGATCAGTAGACAAAAGGACCTCGGAGAGGCTCTGGGGCTTGTACAGCCTGTCCTCCCCTGGCCAGCTGGGTTTAGGGCCTGTGGGCAGCAGGAGGGAGAGGTGGGCCAGCTCGAGGCCAAGGGCTCTCCAGAGTACTACCCCCGCCAGGAAGCGCTGTCCATTCACTGCAATTGAGTGGGCTTCAAGCTCAAATTTAAAAAAAAAAGAAAAGAAAAAGAAAAGCAGCATCTAAATTGGGCATTTGATAACCCAAACATAGCTCTATTTCAGTACATAGATACAATGCTCTCCAGAATTTCAGGACCCCCAGTAGACAAGGACTGAGGTATTCAGCTGCCAGCGATACTTACCTTCATCTCTGGAATAGTCCTCCCCAGAATGTGGTTCAAACAAATAATCTCCTGTTGCCAGCTCAAATGCCTAGGACACAACAGATGACATGCTAAGGCACTTCGTAGAGACTGGCCCCCCCAAGTCAGAGTGAGTTTCTCCTTTTAAAAGAGACCTATGTTCTATGAGGATCTGAATTGAACCAGAGAGCCTTCTATTATAAAAGGGCTCAACACCAAATTTTTTCTTCTTCCAAAAAGTGAAAATAAGCTTCAGAAACATTCTTACACCTCCTCCACTGCAAGATGTAAGGGCTGTGTACTCTCTTCATTCTGTAAGAAGCAAAATGGCCATGTCTGCGCATCAGCAAGCAGAGCGTGCAGGCCTAGCTGGAGCACGGCACTCCGCTCCTCATGGCAGAAGAAGGGCACAATCCAGGCCACAGGTCTGTCTGACCCCAGCGCCTGACCTCAAACTGCAGGCTAACCTGGATGGTGGGTGCTGCTGCTCCTTTGAAGCAAAGACCTTCATGTCTTAATAACCAAGGGCTATTTTCAGCAATCCCTTATCATTTCATTTATTTCTGACTAAATCAAAAGAACACGTAGAGCTTAAGAAGCCCCACTGCTCTGTCACCTGGGGGCCAGGAGGAACCAGATCACTAAGGAGAGCGAGTTTCCTGGGTGACCATTGTCTGTCCCTAACATATCGGTTGTGGGGGGGTGGGCGAGGGCATAGTCTAGTTCCCTTGTTCACACACACACACACACGCAATTTCAGGACCATGAGTTTAATTTGGTAACAATACATAGAGACGGCAACTCCTTCACTCTGCTGATCGACAAATGTCATGATTTTAAAACAATATAAAAAAGGATAAGCTAAATGCCAGTTTTGGTTTTTGCCACAGTTACTTCTATTCTGTATAAGATCTTGCTGTTCCAGAAGGCACTCGGGCCCAGTGCCACCTGCACTGATACAGTGGACCAGACGCCACGGCACCACCGCCACCCCTCCCGAGACACTGGCCTCCCCACCCCTGTCCTTGATGAGTCGTCACTGCACTGACCCATCTTCTCCTGCCAATAAGCACAGAGTAGGGAGAAGGTGCCCTTGGGGAAGATTCGTCTGCCTGCAGCTGGGGTACCTTTCCTGGCAATCTAAACAAACCACAGATGGGCACACTCAGCTCAGGACCACTAGTTCACGAATGCAGGATCCCTGCCCTGAACTAAACGTGGGTCTGAGCAGGACCCGGACATGTCAAGTCTTAGCACAGAGTAAGGTGTCCATCCAAGTGCAGGTCATCCTGGGCAGGTCCTCACTGGGGCCTCTCCTCTCTACCCAAAAAGCAGTAAAGACACTGGGCCAACCCCAAATCAGGGTTAAAAAACCTCACATTGGGCCACAAACCCAAGAGGGACAGCTAGATTCCTCACCTAGGACACAGTCAACTCAATACAAGCCAGGAGAAAAAGGTGAAACCCTAGTAGAAAAAGAAGATCCGAAAAGCTATGTGACGGAAGCTCTACAGAAAGCACCACTTCCGGGGGTCCTCATCCACTCTCATTAACTTTGAAAAACGTTTCAATCTGGTTGTATGTATTTCTTACGGTCTAACACTAAGATATATCAGCTGAGTGTTCTTTGAAAGATGACTGTTTTGATTAGCACCCACGTATTTCCAATGAAACCCTTAAGTCAAAGAAGCCTATCGATGAAATCATTTAAAAGAGAAAAGGGAGAGGCAAGGCGGAGGCTCCCGTCCTGGTATCTGGTCCTGGTTCTCTGGAGAGTGACGAGATTTTCTTAACAGACAGGACATGCACAACAGGGCAAACACATGTTACCATGAAAACATCAGCCTCTGCACTTTGCGACCTGCTTTTATGGTAGCAACTATGAAACCATGAAAGATTACTGCCGTCAACTCAAGAGGTTACTCCCACTATAATCTGGATAATTATTATTTATTTTTAATACTTAGGAACTTTGGATTCTTCTCTCTGTACTTGGCTTGATGCCCTCCTTGGGCCTTTCCCTGGACCAACCTCTGTTCTCAGGTTCTGGAGAGATCTCTTTCCTGAAATGCCCTCCCATGCCAACATGCTCCATTCTGAATAAATAAGGGCACCTATTAGTTCTGTGATGTGATCAGTGCTGAAGGAGTTTGGTGGAATTTATCAGACTGGCTTGTTTCTATGGCACTGACTCAGGCTCACCATGGAGTCCATAAAAAAAAAAAACCTACTATTGAGGCACTCTGTCATCCAAACACAGAGGAGCCTCAAACACCTCAGCCCACACAGAATTATTAGATCATATACACTTACATCTGGAGGGGCCCCAAGCTCAAGAAAAAGGAGAGTCAACAACTGATACATCCCAGCTGTGCTTGATATTGTCGTGCTTTCTCAGCTGTGAAAGCTCTGCTGACAACAGCAAAGGTACGTATTAGTATGCGCCCACAGGTAACAGCCACCACACAGGGGTGCTCATCTCCACCACTGTCTCTGTTCAGATTCGATGCCATTTATAACACTCAAAGGACTCTGGGATTTACCACCGAGAACAGTCTTGAGCTTTATCATGGCTTGGTATTATTATGAATTTAATATACTGTTATATTTTTAAACTTCAACAAACGGGTAGTGGTGAGGAAACACTGCTTCATCTTTTCCAGGTTCTCTATGAAGAACAGCAAGACCTCGCGGCTATGACCTTCGGGGATAAGGGGACAGGGTGGGGAATAAAGGCTTGCCCCTTCCAGGAAAAAAAAAAAAATCACCCCTTTGACAACCAACTGATTTCAAAAAACCCTCATAAGCAGCAATGGGGGAACCTATACTTAATTTCTTGGAAAGGTGGGGGGTCGGAGGCAAAAGGAGACCAAGTCAATCCCTTCCCTTAGGAATTACTGATGTTTATGCCACTGTTCATAGCAACAGTGGTAGAGGTACAAACGCTTATCTAACAAGGCAGATAATCTGGTATAAAACTGTACTGACAGCTTCACCATTATTTTACAACATCTGCGATCTTGTCCTATTTTTCTGGTTATATCACTTAAATTTAACACCCAAAATTAGCAGCACAGGATTTCAGAGTTGAAAGAGTTCTCAGAGTCTAATTCAGGGCAGCCCTGATACAGCCTCTTCCGAGTTACTGGGGACAAGTAAGGCGCGGCCTCACCACATCCTGAAATGGAACACTCATCCCCCGCAGCTCTAACTGTTCAAAGTGCTCCCTCTTTCAACTGACCTCGGCCTCCCACGGCCTCCCAGCCCCTACGCCCCATCCTGCCCTCTGGAGTCACACAGAGTGTGTCTAATTCCTCTCCACACAGTGGTCTCTAAACTCAAAGGAATGATCGCATTTCCACCAATGCTTTTAAACATTCTTTTCTATACCCGACAACAGCAAGGACTTCATTTTTTTTTTTAAACTTACTAAAAAACTTCATTTTAAAACTTATCTGGTTATTAGCCATCAGAGCAATGTGGGAATAGAAAGGCGCAGTGGCCATCTCTATTTGGCCTTATCTCTTGCCTCAGATCATGCTAACTTGAAAGACACAAAACATCTGCTTTTATTCATATTGTTTTAGCACTGGCCATTAAACAATGCTTTTACTTTAGTATCAGAGGCCAATATAGTCAATTGTTAATCTTTGAACAACAGTGAATTTAATTATTCAGCATTGCTTTTTTAATGAGAAAGCAAATGTCGCACTTTATACACATGCCCTTGCATTTAAATATCAAAAGAGACTTTGGAAAAAAATATGAAATTAAAAAAGCATGAACCACCACCCTAAACTACACGCAGGCATGCACACGCACCCCCTTTCTAACACGGGACTACGAAGTACAGCCCATGAAGAGGAAGGTGCTAAACTGGCTAGGAAAAGAGGGCAAAGAAAGAGAAACTGAAATTGACTTACAGATGGACCATTCGTGCTCATCAACTCACAGGTAAGGCGTGAGAAAGAGACATGCTGGTCGGGGTTGGGGGAGAGTTTAGACACAGCTACACTTATGATGTACAAAATTGGCAGTAACAATGGATATGACACACTGGTGGAAGAGGAGGTATCCTGAGGCCTGGGAGCTCTATGGGAACAGATTCAGTCAGAGGAACATATGCAGATGCTGGTATCTCAAAAGTGACCAGGTAGCCCAGCCCAGAGCAATAAGCCAGAATATTCTCTAGATTTTGCTTAAAAAAGACGAGATATAAAACATTGGAAATGGGTATTCCTTTCCTCTCTATAAGGAGATAAGGTCTGTCAGAGGCCACCACAAAGGACTCCAGCCTTCGAGCCCCAGACGGTCTTCACCTAACACGGCCGTCTCATCTTCCTCCACAGCATGAGTGAAGATGAAGCTACATACAACCTGAAAGCTTTCAGTAACCAAAAGCAATTACCTAGAAGTCATTTTGTCACCACAGCGGAGGGTCTGATTCTCTGGGTTGTGGGCTGCACCTGGCCTTGAGGAGAGACTGTCACTCACAAGACCAAACCAGACCAAACCCAGGACATGCCTAAGAAGAATTCTTCCAATTCTTAAGATACCCAATGCAGCAAAACCTTCCCCTCACCCATCCCATGGTGGACAATCTTCAGAGTCAGAAAAACTTCAGACAGCATGCACTGGTAAGCATTAAAGGGATGAGCCTTTACACAGGAGAAAATGGCCAAGGCCGTTCTTACCATACATGCCGTACTCCAAATGTCAGCAGGTGTGCTGTAACCTGCTCCTATTAAAACCTCTATGGATCTATACTGACGTGTCTGGATGTCTTCTGTGAAGTGTTTATGCTGAAAGGGAACAGAATGCATTACCAGGGTGGAACACATTAAAAAAGAAAACAACAACAACAGTGAATTCAGAAGTGTCTTTTAACACATGATCATGACCAAAATGTTTTAGAAATAAAACTCTACTTACCACCCAACAAGCATTTCCCAGGTCAGCAATTTTAACTCTAATTTTATCAGCGTTCCGTGGATCCAGGGGATTCACCAACAAGTCAGCCGCCCGGGTTTTTGCTGGCATGAGCAAACAGCAGGACAGTTAGTGCATGGGACAAGCGGTTTGCATGTGTGCACACAATGTTTGCCAGGCACAGAGCCTCCTTTTCTAGAAAAGTGATGGGATGATCATTTAGCCATGGAATCCTAAATCCCTGGAAAATATTTCACAAAAGAGAAAATTGGCCACCGAGAGACTGTCTTGCCCTTTCTCCTTTGTTCCTGATTCCTTCGCCTCTCAGTCAGCCCTGCTGTGCTCCCGTCTGCATCCCTCTAGCTGTTCCTCATTGTATCAGAGCCCATTCTGTAATGGACCACACACATCTCGCCCATCTGTGCATTATTACACAGAGAGAGGACTCAATCCTTACTGAGTGACTCACAGTTCACCTAGTACCCATACACCCTACCCCTTCTTCTACCTGGACTAACCTCAAGGATTAGATGATGGTTGATTAATAAATACAAATTAAAGGCCAGGACTAATCAATCCTGGTTTAGCTCTGAACAAGAAACACTCTAGAATAGAGGTCTCCTGAGATGGCCTTGGCCATAAAGGCAACCCCTGAGGTCCCTCAGGATCTTGTCAATTAATTGGGCCATTCTAAACCCCGGGGCAACCCTGAGAGAATCTCAACAGCAGGCACAGGGCCAGGCTTCTCAGGGCTCTTGGGACTAGAAGAGCTTCTGAGGTAAGTTGAGACCATGCCTGCATCAAGCACAGTTAATCAGGGGGCAAGTGACAAAGAAATATAAATTGATGAGGCCCAGGCAGAAAACGCTGAAGTTGAGTCAGCATCTTCATCAAACCTCAAACTGACCTACAGGCTCGGATTTCTGGAAAGGACAAGATATAACTATGGCTTTTATTTATTTTAGAAGTAAATCTGAAATGGTATTTATAGACTAAACAGGAAAGCCTGCTCGATACAGAATATCAAACACCCTTTTGTTCACTCAAAGCTGGGGCATTGCTAAAACTAACCAAACCTCCTTTTGGGCATGTCTGTGCTGTGAGGCCACAGGGCTGGAGGAGGCTCTGATCCCTTGGCATCCCACACAGGCAGCAAGGCCAGGTCAGCCACACTGTCAGCAGGGCAGCGGGCAGGCCAGGCGTCCAGGACCTAGGGCACTGTCACGGCTCCCTTGCAGGGGGTCAAAGGGTGTGGAGAGAACTCTGGCCAATGTTTTAACCCCCAAGACCCATTCCTCGGGCTTATGGATCAACCTGGGCCGGCCAGGCTCGCATGTTCCCTTCTTGCTACTCCCCTAGGTCTACTTCCCTCTTTATAAGAAGGCTGATCCACCACGGGGCCTCACCAAAGGCCAGGAATGAACTGAGGAAAAGAGACACAGGAACTCAGAAACGATGTGAAGAAAGCAGCACGGAGACCACATAAGGAGGCAAACTGAATACCCTGAACGGAGAGTGGACTAAGAGGAAAGTTCCAGAAGAAACATAAAAATACTGAGCCATTGGATGGACTGGCAGCACAAGAACTGGCTAGATGAATCTTCACATCATTTAATCAAGGAGAGTCAGGAGGCAAGAAAATTGAATTTGAGGACTGCAGAACTAGATTCAAATCTAGTTTCAACTCCTACAAGTCTTAAGACTCTGGCAAATGACCTAAAGTGTTTGAGATTCACTGAAGAGGAGGAAGAGGAAGGGACCACTCCTCCTCCACGAATGAATCAAAGACCAAACACAGGAGAGCCGTAGCAGCTACTGGATGGCCAGATCCGGGGGTCCTGCTCTGCCTGAGACCAGCTGGGCCACCCGCCCTCTGAGACTGAGGCTTCTAACTGGACAGTGACGGGCCAACCCTTCTTTGGTGACATGCTGTTTTCTTCCTGGTTCAGATTCATACATAGTGAGCCAGCTCACAAATGATACTATGGAATTTACCTTAAAATTTTAATTGTATAAGAACACAGAGGAGGTAAAAAATAATTTGCTCATATTTCTTTCTTTCTCAGTTACCTATACCAGGATAACTAACTATAGCGCTCAAAAAAGTGCATTTAAAAACAAGGACACTCATGCTTGCTGTGTAATCATACCAATTTTACTTGGCCTAAGAATCAGATCACTTCCTCTGATTAAGTCATTGTCGTGGTGACCTATCACACAGCTCTTCCTTGCTCTACGCTTCTACCAAAGAGAGAATGGAAAGTGGGAAGAGAGAGGTAGAAAGATTTCACTTCAGGAAGGGCAGGGGCCCGTAAGTCATTTCTGATAAGCCAGTCTTTGGTTAACATCGTACAATTTCATTCCATGTGAAGCTATCCTAGAAACCAGTAAGGTGGCAGCCAGTGGAGCCTCCGAGTGCTGAAACAGCCATCACTACTTATCTGCAAGCCCCTGTACTAGGCCCACACTAACTCTTTATAGTTTAAAACATCCTTACAAGGGAGGCATGAATACTCTTGCTATATGTAGGAGGTTCAATACCAGGCCCAAGCAGAAAAAGTGGGAGATTTAATGCCCAAACCTGGCCTACTCATTCACCGAATATTTACTGAGTTGCTTCTACGTGACAGGTGCTGTCTTGGCACTGGAAACAGCAGAAACAAGACATACAAGGTTACCTCATCACACCCCAAATTAGGAAACTCACGTCCAGGCTTGGGAATGTGGGCAATAAAGTAAATAAAATGAATGACTCACACACCATGTCAGTGGCTCTATATGCTATGAAGAAAAACAAAGGAAGGAGATGGACGGCGATAAGGGTGTTCAGGGGAGGTCTTTTCTGAGAAGGTGACATCTGAGGAAAGGTCTGAAAAAAGAGAGGCACAGACAAAGGAGACAGCAAGTACAAAGTGTAAGGAGGCACAAACAAGCTCCCACTTTTGAGAAACTGTAAAAAGAAGCCCGTGTGGGAGGTGCAGAACGAGCACAAGAAAGAGAAAGGGGGTGATGCAGGAGATGGTATCAGAGAGCGAGCTGCCAGGGAACAGGCTGCATAGACCTTGTAAGCTTTAGAGCGATGTCTCTGGGTGTTATTCTAAGAAGAAATACATTGGCGATCATGGGCGGGGGGATGGGATGTGTTTAAAAAGCTCTCTCTGGACTGCTTTACAGAAAACAGGCTAGGGAGCGAGAGTCGAAGTGAGATCAGCAGGGAGCCCATATGACAGCAGCCTAAGCAAGGGCTGACGGTGACTTCAAGGTGAAAGTGAAAGGACTCGACATACACCAACATTGCTGCAGGTTGAAGCCAGCAAGACCACTACGCTCCAGGGTCTCTGTCCTTCAGATGTGATGAGAACAACACCTAGGCTACGACTCTAGTAGCTAATAATCCAAGAGAAATCCTGTCTCCTCTTCTCAACTGCCAATGGTCACCAAATTACTCTAGGGAAAAGTTCACATTCTTTAGCCTGGCATGTAAGCTCTTCCCTCGATCTCCTTCTGGCCCAGCCTTTTCTTCTACTATTCCCTAATGTATACACTCTGCTTTAACAATAAGGATCTACACACGTTCTGAAGAAAGCTTGTTTTTCTTGCCTCCTGTTCATGTTATACCAGGTGGCCATCTCCCAGCCTCTAGGCCATGACCGTTCCATGCAGGAAATACCTCTATGCAGGAGGATTACCCATGGCTATCAAACAACCAAGATGAAAAACAAAACACATGACTGGATACGGAGATCTGATCCTGTCCCTACCACATCCCTGGAATTTAACAATATTGAACAGGTATACTTGGTAAGAGATTGGGATCAATGAAAAAAAAATGTAGACCTCTTTTATTTCTCCCCGATTCACCTAACACACAGGGTGCTAAGGATGGAATGTGTTAGACAGAGTAAAATTTTGATTGTGAATGGGAAAAGGTGGGAGAAATGGAAGAATAGAAGAATATAACCAGGTATCACTGATTTGTTTGTTCATTACTCAATAAATATTTATCTTAACACTGAGTTAGATGCTGAGGATACAAAGAAAAAAACAGACAACACACTCAAAGAGTTTACATCCTAGTGAAGACAAAGATAATGGAAACAAACAATGTCCATACAGTTAAGAAAAGCATGACCAGTAGGAAAAGAGAACAGGCCTGCTTGGAAAAAGAGAAGGCTTATGTTTGAGCTGCTACCTGACAAAAGAATAAAAGATTGCCAGAATGATGGACAATAAATAAATAGGAGGAAACATTGTAAGCCAGAGGTAAAATAAAAGCAAAAGTAAAACAGAAGCATGAGTGAACATGCCCTGTGCACACAGACATTCTTTATTATGTCTTAAAGAAACCCAGAAGAGGCTATGCTACAGTTGGTGGCCGAAAGTGTCAGAACTAGTGCAGCAGTAGCCTGAGAGTAAAGGAGACACACAGAGGTGAGCTCTTCCTTAGATAAACCGACATCCTAGCCGACAGCATCTTATACATACCTTCAAAAAGTTCTGCTCAGAGTAAACATAAATAGCAACAGAATATGTCTACCTGAGTTAAAAAAAAAAAAAAAAAAGGAATAAAGAAAACCACAGCTTTAGGATAATTAGTTACAGCTAATGAGTAATAAAGGCAGCTCTGCAGGTCTCCTACCTGCTAGAATGAAAAGGTCTGCCGAATTTCATGGCCTGGCTCACCCAAGTACTCCCCCTGTGTTAAACACTCCTGTCAGCAGAGGGAGTAGAGGAGGTTTCTGAGCGTTCGACTGTGGGCCAGAATGGGAACCAACCATGATGTCCAGTGTTTGCTTACTGAAGTCCCTTGGCATGTCACCCGCAGAGATAAGTCACTCTCAAATTAAGGGTTCGATATAAGTTATCACATTTGAATCCATCCCACTTCCTTTAAAATTTCAATAGCTAAGTCCTATAATCAGAACAAGTATCAAAATAAAGATACCTCTTCCTCAATATAGACAAAGAGCAGGCATTTTTCCTTGAATAGAAACTAAACAAAACAAAAAACAAAACTAAATATTGCACTACCAGATGGAAGTACAAATTATAAATTAAACTACACATTCTAGAAAGCTATAGGCCTAAGTTCTTAGACTTGGAAGGTTTGCAAATGTATGATGTCTCTAACTAAATATAGAAAGAATGAGGAAAGCTAAGAAATGAGATCTGATAAGCAGAAAGCAAGAGAAAGCCCAGTGGCACAAAATATATTTTACAATAATTACTTATTTGCAAGTATAAAAGTAATAAAATGAAAATGGATAATGCATACATACATAGCTTTACCACCTCCAGCCAATTCCCTTCACAGCATCTGTCAAGTGTGTGACACTTAGGCCATTGAAGGCAGATAGCTGATAGGGAGGGACACTTACTTTTTGGCAAATCCCCAGTGCTGGAGGCTGAAACCGTTCTGCTTCTGTCATGGGATGGACTGCTCCCCTCATGCTCGGTAAGTGGGGATCCCCCGGAAAGTGCAGAGCCACAAGCCACAGGTTCTAAGGGCCCAGAGAACAATGATGTGGAAAACTCTGGAAACTGTGACTCAGGAATTTTATGTCGTCCATTTGGCAATTCACCATTGAATTGTTCATAGGAGCTGCTATATGTGTAATCACTTTCTGCATTTGGCTCATCAAGGTTATATTCCTCTGGATTTGGGCAATCTTCATCATCATCATCTTCATCATCCAGCTGCGGTTCCAGGAGGAATGGGCCATTCTCAATATGGCCATTGGTTTTGGGTGATTCTATCCACGTAGGGTCTATGTTCACAAGTTCTTGTTCAACATCGTCTTCATCTTTCTCAGTGTTCTCTTTCTCGGTGTCTTCTTTCTCTTCCTGGTCCTCAGCTTCACCTTAAAAGGGTGATGAGTTAAGAATTAAAACTTGTTACCCTCCCTAACACGGTGGCACTAGGTACTTATCTCCTCCAACAAGAGACATTTCTGAATGTGCTTAACTTATGTACACTTCTTGACTTTCAGGGTAAAATCCTCAGGTTTTCAAAATCTTACTCTTCATTTACTAAATAACTAGCCTACTCTTATTCGAAAAAGTTAGCTTTTGGGAGAAAATTACTGTAATAGCTGCACTTCCATTTTTGCCCTCTTCTCTACAATCTTCAGAAAAGGTTTTGTACTGGGTGCATTACTATTAGGTAAACGGTTAATTGCAAAATAAAGGACAGTCATTAGCATGACAGACACATGCTGTCTCTCAGATATTTTCTCAGACATGTTTTAAAATCTTTTAAAATATTTCTGGCATACATTATACAAACGAACCACCAGACTGTTCTCCATATTCCCAAATGAGGAGTAAGACTCATTCTCTTATCTAAGAAGCAGCACAATGTCGACTCTGTGATAACCTGGGGCGGGGATGAGTGTCCCTATTAATGAAGGCCTGGGCCCCTCCACAGCCCCTTCCCCAGATTTCACTGACCATTGTCATGTGCAGTCTCTTCCTCAGCCGCCTCCTCTAATCCTGTTTTTAGTTTCACCTCTGGGCAGTAGTCATCATCTTGTTCATTGGAAGGTACAGTTGATGTGACGTTTTCTTCTATGATTTTCCTTTCTGCTTCTCGCTCCAATTCTTCTATTTCCTGCAGGCGCTTTTCCAATAACTCAGCCTGCCTTTTCTGCTTCTTTTTTAGTTTTTTCTTTTTGTTTTTAGAAATTTTTCCTATCTACAACATGTAAGAAAATACTACAGGTCAGCTTGCTTCTTTTTAAAGCACTAGGCAACAGCGTAAGTGCTGGCAGCATGGCAAATACCAACACGATCTGTTTTTTCAGGTTGTGCTCAATTAAAATCACATGTCTAGACATGAGATCTACCTGGGGGCTAGGGTGACAGTCAAACCAGGGAAAAAAACAGTGCTAATATCAAATAATGGGACTGCTACCAGGTCCTGCAGCTTAAATCCAATGTCTTTTTCATTTAAACTCTAAGAACTGAATATGCTGATACCCCCTTACCTTTAAACAAAATGCGTCTCTTGCCAGTTTTATTTGCTGCTTCCTATATCCAAAGTAACAATGTCCCTCTCCTTACTGTCTTACCCAGCTGTCTGCCAAAAAAGAAATACCTGCCAAAACGGGTGTATTTCATTCACTGTTGGTCAACAGTTGGGTCTCGCACACTGAACTGTTATCAACAGCCAGGGCTGCGTGGATGCAAAAATTGAGCATATGAAGTAAAGGAAAAACAGAAAAAGCCACAGTTTGAGTCTGCCTCCAACCAGAGCCATCTGAATTGGAAAGTACTGGCAATGAAAGCCTCCAGTTTTCACAGAATCAGTAATCAAAACAAGCTGCTCGGGCCATGGGAAACTATGGGAAACGGCTCGGCTGGGCTGCTCGGCAGGCCAGGCGTAACGACCACAACTCCTGTCCTGGGATTCCCATTCCAAACTGATGGCTATGGGCAGCACTCTGAATTTGTGGACATTTCTTTTCAAATGCTTTTATAAAGCTCTTGACCTTTCACAGAGTTCATAAAGCTCTTTTTAAATCTGTAGGTGACTCATCAATTCAAGATATATACATTCTGTCCTCTACTGGAACCAAGCCAGGTTTAGGTCCATTGGGGTAGGATTTAATTCCAGGCAGTTTGCTTCATTTGATTGGACTTAGTGTTTTGACAGGATCATAAAATAGATAATACTCTTTCATATTTAACTACTGGCTAGAAAAAAATTAGAACAGCTTCAGAAAAAAATTAGAATCCAATCAGAAATCAGGTAAAGTGTTTTTAGACTAATCCCACTTTAAACTCTACCTCCATCACCTCACATTTTACTGGGCTCAGTCAACAGCACTCACGAAAGTATATGAGGAAAATAAATATCCAACTTAGAACAGCTCTCACTGAACAACTCTAAATATCAGTTCAGTTTATCAGAACAGTAAGTCTTATATATTCAAGGATACTCAGTATTTAAAATGTAATCTGTCTTTTACATTAATATACATTATACCATCCATAATTGACAAAGGAACAACAAAAATTCCTCAAAACACTTAAATGAAAAATGACTGCAGAGAGAAATAGAAACTAATATTATAACTTGTAAAGTTCAACAATAAACTGTTGCTTTTGACATGAAGGTGAATATATACATATATGTCTAAGTACTTACAGGTTTTTGCTGTGGAGCCGTACTCACTAAAACAAAACAAAACGACTGTTTAGAAGAAAACTGATACATGTCTTAATGTAATTTAAATTGTAAAATTAAATAATTAATGCCTTTTAATGGCTATCCAACTTCAACAACTGTTTAATATCAGAGCTTCTGAGTCATACAGCTCTAAAGAATGTTTACCCAACTCAAATAAATGATTGGCTCTTAAAAAGCACAGCAGCAGTTGTCCAATGTGGAGTTATTTCTCTTATTTATCTAAAATTAAATACCCATTCATTTCAAAAACACTCAACCCCAAAGCACAGACTGATAAGAAAATGGAGACGAGTTCACAAATGAACACAGTCATCAAACCAAATTTGTTTTATAAACAATGAACACTTCGGAATATGTACATTGAGCAAGTTTATACAGCTAAAGTAAATCAAATACTGCAGTAAATATTCTAGAAATCAAATGACCAGACCTTGCCAACCTCAAAAGCTTGACAGACTGTGGTTCCATGATCTAAAAATCACTCTGATGGTAAAAAACAAGATTCAGAGGCACTGCAACTCCAAAAACACCCAGTCTCGGAGCTGTAGCCCTTCAGTGTGCACACTTGCCTGACGACACACTAGGGCACAGATATTGTTATAAAGAGAGGTGAGAACACAGTCAACACTTCACTGACACTGAGTATTTCATTACACTAGGAGAAAACCAGACATAAAACTCCGTACACCAATACCCAAGTCACTTGGTATTCTTCTCCCACCCTTGAGTCTTCTGTAACTGATTCCAAATAGACCAGTTAGGCTCAGATTGAGGTAGCTACGCTAACTGAAGACTAGGAAGCATTCTAACAAACCTGAAGCTAGAAAAAACTTCTGCTGACTACAGGTCTGCTACATGAAACCTGATACTATATACCCCCTTTGCAGGGTAGTGGACAACACAGAAAAATGTTCAAAAGTAGATAAAGCATCAGGAGGTAAGAATTTAAATGGCTTAAGAGAGAACAAAGTTAAGTAATTCAAATATTAAAGTATAATTTAATTGGGGCATCTTCTCAAGAAAAAGGTCTAGTTATTTCTAGCAATCAGGCACTTACAAAATTCCTTATATAAACATGTTTGCCTCAATTGTCTTTAATATGCAACTTACGAGGCTCTCAATGTTCCCAAACTGACTGAAACAAAGCTGGCTCACCTGCAGACCCTGAAGGAGGAGGAGCACCTGCCTTCTGCCACTCAGTGGCCTCAGCCGCCATTCTTCTCACATATGCATCATCCACACACATTAAGATGTTTTCGGGCTTTATGTCAGTATGAATGATCTTGCACTTACTGTGTAGATAATCTAACCCCTGTAGGACCTGGTCATAGTAAAATCAAGAGAGGAGATGAGTTATTAATACCTTCATTATTCGACATTAACTTGTAAAATAAGTAATATTATCACAAGGCACAAAATTCAATAGACAGAAAAGGATATTTACTAAATATCTTCCTCCCTCCCCACCCCAGCCCCCACAGGAATGCAGTTCTTTCCCACAAGCTACCAATGAGTATAATTCCAGAGATAATTTATGCTCATGGAGCAAATGCATTTATAGATATACTTTTTAAATGATTTTATTGAGATGTAAATTACATACCATGCAATTTGCCCTTGCAAGTGTATAACTCAGTAGTATTTACATGTGCAACCATCACCACTATCTAATCATTAGCCAAAAAAGCAGCACTGTACTCATTAGTAGTCACTTCTCCTTCTCCTTCAAACTCCTCCAGCCCTAAGCAACCACTAATCTACTTTCTGACTCTGGACATTTTATATAAATGGAATCACACTAAGTTGTCTTTTGTAACTGGCATAATGTTTCAAGGTTCATTCATGTGTAGCATATATCAATACTTCATTCTTTTAATTGTCAAATAATGTTCCACTGGATATACCACATTTTGTTTAGCCAATCACTCGATGGACATTTGGATGTTTTCCACTTTGGGGCTATTATAAATAATATTGCCATGAACATTCATGTTCAAGTTTCTGTATGAATATATGTTTTTATTTTTCTTGGGTATATACCTATGAGAGCAACTGTTGGGTCATAAGGTAACTAACTCTATGTTTAGCTCCTTTTTGGACTACCAAACTGCTTTATACAGTGGCTGCTCCACTTTACAGTCCCATCAGCCATGTATGAAGGTTCCAATTTCTTCATCATGGCCAATGTTTGTTGTTCTGTCTTTTTTATTTCAGTGACTCTAGTGGGTATGAAGGGTGTATCTCATCGATCTGCATTTCCACGGTGACTAATACTATGCATACACTGCATATACTGCAGAAAAAAAGGCCTAAGTTTTTCTGGACTTATTTCCATTTACAAGGCATTTAGTTCTTTTCAGATCATGTTCCTATAGATTATAAATTGTACATGCTTAATAAATATTAGCATTTAACAAATATCATTCAAATATTTTAAGTTATGTAAGGGACTTGTCCACAAAAGAAACTGAGAAAAAGATAAGCAGAAGATATATCATCCAACTCTGGAAAGTTCTCAACAAAAATCCAGTGTTTCTTCTGTCTACCTTGAGTATCTGGCTAAACAACCTTATCAGACGGTACAGCATCAGAAAGTAAGGAAAGAGAGGTTTTAGAAGGAAAATGAAAACAGAAAGACCTCTCTCTCAAACAGGATGAAAATCTCTCATCAATAATAACTCTTCTTAGGAAGTATTTTTACATGATGCATTGACTAATATCAATCAATGATACCAGGCCTATCATTGGCCACACGCTGGTCTAGGTATTTGACACATAGCAGTATACAAAGCACCCTGTCTTTATGGGGCTTATATGGTCCTGGTGTCCTCACAGAACTTACTGTTTCATGCGGGGGGTAGGAGGGAAGGGACTGGCCAAAAGGAAACCAAACTGAATCACGGGCACAGCAAATACAATTAACACGTGGCCTGAGTTCCTAAGCAAGCAGTACCAGGGGGGTAGGAGGGAAGGGACTGGCCAAAAGGAAACCAAACTGAATCACGGGCACAGCAAATACAATTTAACACGTGGCTGAGTTCCTAAGCAAGCAGTACCAGTAAATGTCAGCACTTTTCCTAAGGATCTTCCCACCACCATCTTATCCACAAACACCTGTATCTTTCCACCCTACGACTTTCACTGTTCTTAGGTTGTTTTACTGTGGGGGAGGCCGCACAGGTAACAGGTCATGTGATTCACCATCTAAATGTGTTAATGTGAGTTCCCAATAACAACGAGGCACCTGAGACAAGCAAAGTGTTCTCAGCAAGAATTTAAGATTCCAGATTTTTAAAATATTGGCTATTGCACTCAACTGGATTAACTTTCCTCAAGAAGCACAGCTTATAATGTCTACGAACACAAGCAAAAAGACTTCACCACTGGGAATCCAAATCATTAAAGGAAAAGAAACAACTAAGAGATGTAGCATTAAAACACAACCTCGAGACTCAACATTACTCCTAACTGTTGATCAATCATTCATTCCCTGGGCAAGGCACTCTGAGCTTCCATTTTCATATCTATAAAAAAGGGGGAAATGTACCTATTTAGAAATAATCTGTGGAAAACACAAAAACAAGGTCTAACTCATAGGAAGCTCAAAATAAGTGGTAAAACTGAACTAAGCCAGAAGACTTGTACTGATATTGACTAAATAACTATGATTTTCCTAAGTCACTTATTAAACCTCTCCAGTCTCATTTCTTCCATCTCTCATGTGAATAGGCTCTACTTGACAACTTCTGTGGTACATCCCAGCAATGAAAGTCCATAATCTCATTCTGTAATTTCTATTAATTCCATACTATTTTTTCAAAATAAAAAAAAAACCCTTTAGCTGTAAGCTAAGAAGAATGGTTTTATTTTCAAAAATATCATTTCTGTTCTCAGCCAGTGTGTTTTAAAGCAATAAAGCACCCCAGAACCCAGAATCAAACAATAATGGTGGGCAATCAAAAAGCAATTTCTGCAGAATAACAATGATGATGCAAAAAAAAAAAAGAAAAGAAAAAAAAAATCAATGACTCAGACTTCATGTTTAAGGACAGATCTCCCCTTGCAAATTCTGATAAACATTTAAAAGCAGCCGTTACTAATTTCTCCCCTGTTGCATTCATTTGTCAAATTATAGTATATTTGTCTTTCTTGCCTAAAAAAACATAGTTGGCCTCATCAGCAGGAGGCAGCAGAGCCTGTAAAAATCCTTTGGCTGCCATCTGTTCAAATCTATGGCTGTCATGAAAGCTGAGATCAATCTAACCACATATGGGCCAGGGACAGGGCTGCATCCACTCAAGGGAGCCAAACACACCCTCCCAGAGCAGGGGCCAGTTTCCTCCCTGGGAGACAGACTTGCAGGTCAGCAGCGGCACTGAAGCAAAGGCAGAGCCCAGGGCTGGGAGTGAGAAGCTCCAGTTCTTTGTCAAGAAACAACTAGCCATGTCTCAGAGCAAGTCCTTTCCCTCAAGTTCAGCTATAAAATAAGAGGCCCAGTCAAGATGGCCCCGAAGGTTGCTCCCTATACACCTGTGAACCACGTCAGAGTGTTAACAACATAAGTCTGCTCCTTTCTATCACAGCTCACTAGAAATAGGTCTTGTAATCTTGCAGATAATAAGAGGAAGAGTAAATTGAGAGTAATGTGGTGACTTGTCTTGAAGGCAACTCCCTGGCTCTGCTCACCACCCACAGTGATGCTTCCCCCAAAATCTTAAAAGGCAAAGAGAAACAGAATGAGAGCAAGTTTCCAAACTATTTTATGACTCGTCACAACATGGGGACCTTCTTCCTCGCCCTTACCTGAACGCAAGACAAGGGCGCAGAGACTTGGCCTGCCTCTCTTTCTGTGAGTAAAGCCTTCCTAATGCAGCACACCACAGGATACCCCGCTGGCGGCTAGGTAAGCTGGAAAAGCAGAGTGAGCTGGCCCTGAGCAAGGGCGCTTCACTCAAGTACTGATTCCTCTGGATGTGGGGGAGACGCCAGAGCAGCTCTCCTGGAGCTGAGAAACTTTCTTCCTAGGAAAGCTAACGCTTCCACTGGATTTCTCTTCCTTACTAAGACAGACATGAGGTAAATCCTACGAACTGCTTCTGAAACATGTGACAAACTGAATGGAAAAGTGCGGGAAATACCTGCTACGATAAGAGAGGACAACAACGAGATACTCAGACAAAAGTTTCAGTGGACTCTGTCCTCATCGCCCTTGTCCTGAAATAGCCTTCTGCTCCTTGCTTTTTCTCACACCAACTGGTGAGAGGTAATGAGAAAACCCAGCAGCTGTACTTCTGAGTGTAGTCAGGATGAAAGATAAATCCACGTGCCCGGCATGCAGACTGCAGAATAATGAGTGGAGACGGAAGGCTTAACTCTATTAAAAGGGAGCGACTTCACCATATTTCTGAGTTGAGGACCCAACATTTCGAGGAGAATTCCAAGTTAGCATAGAATCCCACACTGAACAAGTCCAAGAATATAAATATGCTTACCAAGTTAAAATTTATCTTCTGAGCTAAAATTCAACAATGCTGTCTTGATCAGAATGAGTTCACTGATGATTAGGACCAGTGAAATAATTAAAATGGTAAATGCTAAGTATAGATAAAACTGATAAAATTTGTGACAACAAATGAGTCAACCTGCCAGGCAGGGCTACAGCTCTTGGTATGCCCGCAGTCTCCAACACTCCACCGAAGGTGGGTTTGGAAAAGCATTTCATTTTAAAAGTCTTCCTAACTTACATATTGCAGCACAAGTGACAAATTACAAATTATCTGTTAAAACCTAATGGCTGTACTTGTAAACAATCTAGTTGTCATCTCGACTATTAAGGAAAACCACTTACTACACACAGGGACACAAATGCATACTTTTCACAAGACATGCTAGAATTTAAAATGCTCCCAAATCTTTCAACGTAGACATCTCACACTACCCTGCAGTTGAGAGCATGGAATCAAAGTTACGCCTCTTAGAGTCAAGTCTTAGTTCCCCCACCACAGTAACTGTGGGACCTGAGGAAGTTTTTATCCTCCCTGTGCAAGGCCTTCTGTAGAGTGGAGATAATGTCCCTGGCCTCGTAAGGCTGTGGTAAAAACTAGAGTGTATAACACAATTGAAGCACTTATAACAGTGAGCGCCTAAAAGACCAAAACAAATGTGACAATCATATTAACGAAAAATAATAATAACTTTAAAATCGGCTACTCTTACATAAAGTCAAAGCTATGTTTAAAGAACAGCAAAGGTGTTTAAAGAAACTATCACGTGTGGAACATCTTTAATGTACCACAAATAACAAATACTGTCAACACAAGCACCATTTTTCTTCTTTTGGTTTCAGAAATAAAAGCTAGACATAAAATAGATCTCAATAAAGCTGATTTAAAAAGGAAAAAAAAGAAAAAAGAAAAAGAAAGCTATGGGGCAAATAAATAGACAACACAAGACTCCATGCTTGAGTCCAGAGAAGCAGCCTGGCGGGGGCGGGGGCGGGGCTGCTGGCCACTGCACATGGCGAGTTCTCCACCTTCACCAGAAGTGACCAGGATGGCTGTCCTCTGACCCAGCACAAGGTCACCACGGCTACACAAGGACAGCTAAGAACTGATCAAAGGGTTAACAGCAAGTGTATAGGAAACCCTGAAAAAAGCGGCTGATTAAATGATGTCATCACGTTTAGAAAATAAGGAAGTGGTAACATTTACCTATGTCAAATCACAGGTCAACCATTCTGTAAAATCAGAATAAGAGGAGCATACACATTTCTTCATTTAAGAAAAGATAACTTATCAAAAACATTTTCTGACCACCTACTAGAAGAAGGAAACAAAGAAGAGATGTGGAACTCACAGCGTGTCTCTAAATCAGAGATGTGCACAATGCAGCCGGAGAGACAGGACAGCCACTGGATGCTCAGCGCTCCGCCATGTGCTTTACCACTAGTACTCTGAATTCATCTCCACAAGAAAGCCACGACTTATGTACTATCATCCCAATTTTACAAATGAGGAAACGGACTCACAGAGGCTAAGTAAGTTGATCATCGATCGGGGTTACAAAACAGTGCCAAAGTCAGAATTTGAAATTAAGTCTATTGCCAAGGCATGTCTCACTGCAATTTCTCTATTCCAGTGGTTCTTGATGGAAAGAAGTTTTGCCTCCTTGGGGGCAAAAGTTTGACAAATTTGACAAAGTTCACAAGTGGGGGTGGTGGTGGCTGAGGCAGAGGCAGAGGTCAGCGATGCAGCCTAACACCTTGCAATCACGCGCAAGACGAGCACCTACAACAAAGGATCATGCAGTCCAAATGTCAGCCCAACATGAGGACTGAGAGGCTCTGGCTTACAAAAGACCCTGCAGCCATTAGGAAAGGAGCACATGCAGACCTCAGGCACCCCGAGGAGAAAAGAAATTCCTTCCTTAATTGGGGGAGTATGAGAAGCCTTCATCACAGAAGCAGTGTTTTGCTTGAGTCTTTAAAAATATGGGTAGAAAAGAAAGGATGGTGTTTCCAGCAGCCTGGGACAAAAGAAATGATCACAGATGTGGAGCTAAAAAATGGCACTGTGAGTATTTTCTCTAAAATAGCTACAAAATCAAACTAGTAAAAATTTGTGAATAAAATTTCTGGTAAATAGGCACATGTTTATAAATGCTTAGGATATCTTTGCATATTCATAAGAAATTAGTAACTTGGTTGACTCCAGGAGGAAAACTGGGTGCCTGAAAAACATGTATTTTACAACACTCATGTGTATTACATATTTTAAAGATTAATTAATGAGGGAAAATTTACCTGGAGATAAGAGCTGAGTTAGAGTTTGTAAGGGGAAATCTGGGCTGACATGGTAGAAGACCTTAAACAGGTTCATAAGAAGAACAGTGCTTTAACTCTCAGTGGACACAGACCGAGAACAATTCTAAAGATATGATGTGTTTGCTGCTTGGCAAAATGGTAAAAGCATGAGCTCGAAAGCCAGACTATCTGAGTTTGAATTCCTGCTCCACCATACAAGTTACTTCCTGAGTAGGGACAAGTTACTTAACCTCTCTATGCCTCAGTTCCACTTCCATAAAATCAGGAGAGTAAAAACACCTATGTCATGGAGTTATTGTGAGGATTCAATTAATTAAAATTTGCAAATGAATTAGAACTGTGCCTGGCACACAGGAAGCGCTGAACAAATATTTATAATTATTAATAATAGTATCCCTTCACATCATAACAATAACCTAATAAGGAAGCTATCTTATTATTCTTTTATTTATGGTGAAATTGTGGCCCAAGGAGGTTAAGTAACCTGGCCGAAGTCCTTTAACTAAAGTAGGGTGTATTTGGCAATCAAACCCAAGCTCTTTATCATGCCATATACTGCTTCATGAAAGCCAACAATGTTACACTTTAGAAAACAGGCAATGGAAAGCCACTAAAAGTTTGTAAATGGGGATTATGAATCATTAAAATGACGTTTCACTTAGGAAGGTAACTGCCAACGGAAAGAATAAACTGGAATAAGGAAAGAAGCAATAGGCTGGACTCTGGGAGAGCAGAGAGAAGCCTATGATGGTACTAGAAATGGAAAGAGCATCAAGAGTAAAAGACACAGAACAAGAGGAAGTCAAAGGCTAAATATCTAGTGAAGTATGGCAAATAACAAAGCCATGAGGACTGAAACGCAGTCAGCTATACCTGACTTTGAAGGTGAAGGAGGACACGTGGAAAGAATATTAGAAAACTGGCCCTACCTCGTCTTATTGTGGGAAGGGACAAAACTGTGTAGGTCTATTAATAAAGGATTTTCTCAGTACTACCCAGGAGTCAATACTAAAGCCACAGACTGAATCAGAGGGAATAAAGGGAAATTCAGGTACAAAGATTATTAACTGGGGATATATAACAATTTACTACTTTGAAAGTAAAAAGATTAGGGCGAAAAAATATCCAGATTCCATGACAATATTTTTCTTAAATAAAATTAAAGATGGGTTCACATTAAAACAAAACTTCTACTCACAATGTCTACAAGAAATAAATGCAGATGATGTAAAATCAAAATTTCATTTTGAAATTTTTCTAGAACAATAAAATACCACAAGAACTCTTAGTCTCCAAAAGCACAGTATATGTGGATCACGGTGAGGATAATACAGTGACTAAGTCATTTCTTCATTAAACAAATATGCATTAAAGTTCCACTAAACTCCAAAAAATTCATCTTTAGATTT